TATACTTATTTATTAAGGTGTGATTTACAAATTTTTAATGATTAGTAAAAGCCTATTATAATATTACTGTATTTTCAAAATGGAATTACTTTGTAGATGATTCCTGAAATTATATGTAAACTAAAATAAATAATATTTTAAATATGCAATAATTTATTCTTGAAATAGTATCCTGCCTTCGCAATAAAAAAATAAATACCGTTCGCTGTTAAACGAACCTATGTGTCTTATGTACAAGCCTCAAACCCCTTTAATTGCTCGATTTATTTTAATTTCTCCAGATGCCTTCCCTACGTTTTAGCGAGACTATGCATAGAGCTCCTCGAGCCACGAACACACTTTCAGACTTTTTCTCCAATAGACTCGCGAATTAAATTCATGCCCTCAAAGAATTTAATTGATAGTATCCATGTAAAAAGAATAGTTGAACAGAGGGAGTTAAATAATTTATTTAATCAATGCCTGCCAAAATTTACAAAAGCACAATTCACTTCATACTTTAATTAGACTTTAGAAATTAGCATTATTTCATCATTCTGTTTATATGTCTAACAAAATTTTTTAATTATTAGCGATTTATAGTAAGTATAACGATTGTTAAGTATTGGGTTCTTTCCTAATCCTGTGGGCATTTATAATAAATAGTGAATGTCAAATTAAAGAATTTTATGGATATTAATTGTTTATAATATTATGTAGTATAATAAATATTTGTACTAATCACAGTAGCTATACGTGTAAGCCTTTAATTTCATTTACAATTATAGTTTCCACAGTTTGGTATAAACTATTAGGTCGTGCTTCGATTACATCTATTACTGCTATTACAGGTACAGTTTTATCAAGTGCACTTGAAACTTAAGGTTCTAGTTGAGCGTCGTTGACGCTGTCGTCACGCTTCCTGCACTCACAGCTTTCCTAGAACTTTGGTTTGTTCAAAAAACAATATATTCAGGGTTATTACGCGTCTGCATGGGTGCATCCAAACGCGACGCAAAGTATTTCTACCGTATAATTACGAACAAAAATTTACAAGTGAATATGTTGTTGTTGTTGTTGTTGTTGTTGTTGTTGTTGTTATTGGTATTACGGTAATGAAAACACAAACCTCTTATACAATAATGCAAGTTATTTATTTAAACGGTGGCGGAAACGCTTTTCTTGAGTACTTTAAAACCAAAAAGGTCAACTTCCGGGCGTCGGTTTTCTTTACGAGAATCGCATAAGTTGTGGAAATTGCCTCTTAACGCTGACAAGAGTTCTGAACAGAACGGCCCTCGAATCGTTTTGTTTCTGATTCTGATTTATTACAACTGAAACTAACAAACACTATCAAGATGCTAATATGAGATTACAATTTACGAAAATTTTTAATACTAGATGAGCAAGAGCAATTAATCCCATAGTCGATTATATTATGGTTTAACAAATCTCTCATTCCCAATTCTCATATCAAACTGGAAGAAATGAATTTAGTATCTAGTAGCTCAATTTTTTTTATACAAAAAAAGAATGAAATTTTAAGAATAGTGTAAATGTAATATAGAATGTCCATAAAGAAAAGAATACCAGAGAATAGAACCTAATTTGATCATTTATAAAATGATTTTATTGATTGAACTGAGAATATATCATGACACTATGATTAAGAAAATTTTTACAAAATACATAATCTGAAATAATAATATGAAAATTATTTTATAACTTGTATAAGTAATTTTGAAAATTCACTATCTCGCAATTTACCGCATGTATCGTTATTAAAATCACTATTAATCCAAAATAAGTAAATGCTTGAATTGTAACGTGCAATAAATGAATGCGAATAATTAAAAATCTCTATGTATCAAAGATAAAAAGAAAATATTAACATTAATAATTTTCATCAAAATAGAAAAATCAAATTATACTTTCACCTAAAAATATACGCGTATATATGTAAATTTACATAAATTTGTATATAATGACGATAGAGTGGTAGACCCAGCGAAATTAATTATAATTTTTAAAAACAATAATAAGCCTTAATAAATAGGAAGTAACAACAAAGTAACAACATACTTATAATATCAAAAGCATTTATATTATTTAATAATACTTTTTTGTTATTTAATATTAACATTTTTATCATGGTATTTATTAATAATTTTAACATTCATATTAATATTAATTTTATTCATTTAATGAATTAAACTTAAAGTTTGTTATATTGGTTGTGTTTTAAACGATTAAGGAACAAATTAAAATATAAGAAAATAATATATAACATACGGAAAATATGAAAGTCAAATACGATTATCTAATATATTTAAAGCCGTTGCTTAAAAGCATAAATCAGTATTTCCAATGAAGTTGAAAATCTCAAGTCATAAATATTTCAATTTTGTACAATATTTTTCTTGATTTTCTTCAGTCATATAATAACTCTATTATTGTCTTTGCTTTAAGTCCACATTTATTTAAAACGCCTTTTTAGAACAGCCAACTTGAAAGTTAATAAATTATTATAATTAAAAGAATATATTTTATTTTTCATTTTAATTATAATTTATTACTTTACCTCAATTTATTAATCCTATACATTCTATTAATTAAATTAACTCAATTATAGTAACAATATTCAGGTATATTTAAATATACAATAAGTTTCAAATAATACTTGGATTTACATATTTGAAATTATTAATAATATTTATAATTATAAATATTATGAATTACATTCTATTATAATAAATAAAAGTTTCAGATAATTTTATGTGTGAGTAATAAATAGTACAATTACTGTAAAAAAAAATTCTCTATTAATCTTTTAGTGATCAATATGGATGTGTTTTACAAAATAGACATAAAATATTTAATATATCGTTTCTCTTACTTTTTAGTGTTTAGGGTATTTCGAGAAAAGATATATTATTTCAAAAATATTTCATTCTTAATATATATATACTACTAAAATACTATAGGAAAAATAAGAAATACATATATATATATATATATATATATATATATATATATATATATATAACGAATTATTAAATTAATTTTTTGAATAATTTTTAATTTCTGAAAATAATTCATTATTCTTATGTTCTGGAAAGAAATGGTTTTTAATTCTCCCAGTTGTTGAAGTAAAATTTTCAAAAGCCATAAGAAAACATTTCTAATAAAAATTAGGAAGAGAAGAAAAATGCAGTAATCGTGTCTCGGTCAATTCAAAAACTCACATAAAAGCACGTAAACATGCGAAGAAACGTAATTAAAGGCATACAGATCTATCAAAGGAAAGGCTGTCGAAAAAAATAAAATCGTCCAAATAAAACATCCAAACCCTCGAGAAAAGGAGGTAAGAATGAGCGAGAGGCCAAGCCGCGCTTCTGTCGCGTAAGAAGGCCAGGTAAAGGCGATGCCTATCTGCAGGCTCGATGTGACGGCTGTGTGCCTCTGCGTCCAGGTCCCGAAAAAGAAGGTTGAAAAGAAAAAATGAAGAAAGAGGAGCGCGATCGGCCGAGGGGCAGATGCACGCATCGTCGGCCTCGGGTTGTGGAACGAATCCGAGAGCACGCTGTCCTCTCTCCCTCCCTCACTCACTCATTCACTCATTTACTCGCTCACTCACTCTGTTATATTACAAAGCCCGTACATGCCAAAAGCATGAGTTGGACGGCGAGAAAGAGGGACAGGGAAAGGGAGAGGAAAAGGGAGAGACGGTACGAGAGAGAGAGAGAGAGAGAGAGAGAGAGAGACAGAGGGAGAGAGACCGAGAGTGAGCGTAAGAGAGAGCGAGAGAGAGCGAGAGAGCGAGTGTGGGAGAGAGGGAGAAGTGGGTAGATAGAAGGAGATAATGAATTAGTGAAAGACCGTAGGAGGGAGAGGAAACGGTGGGGGTGCGATGCACGCGCTAGAACGGCTGGACTGCATTTTCGATTCACTTGCCCACATTCGGCCCTTTTTACTGTATAGGCGGGCATCCACGATCGTATCTGATTACCGACAAATAAATTTTGGTTCTTTACTCGGAGAGAATTTATTACAACTTATTTTTTACTGAAGTATTATAATTTGAGGCTGCGTTTGATTAAAATTGGCTTTCTTAAATTAAACGAAAGTCATCGTTAGCTTCTACTTTGCTTTTGAAATGCAAGGAATGCCTGGATTTATCATTTATTAAATAAAAATCTCATTTGTATAAAATTATTAATAGCTTTTGCGAACATTTGATTTACATAATTAATAGAAGACAATATATTTCGTGTAAACAGCGATAATTTAAATTATATTATTTAAACATATTATTATATTCGTTGAAGTGAGTCAATTATGTCTAGACTAACTTTTCTATATAGCAAATATTCTAAAAAACTAAGAAAACTCTTTTTCAAGTTTGTCTTTATGAGTATTATTCAAAATATCTAGTGTTATTATGTATATATATATATATATATATATATATATATATATATAACAGCTCTGCTTAACGTATCATTTGACATATGCAAAAGAAAAGCGAAGGAGCTTGCAATTCTATAATTGTAATAATAAGATATACAATTAAATGTTTCAAAAATAGATTTCGATTTGTAAAAATGTTAGTTGGGATGTTGTTATATATTAGACCGCAACTAAATTTCACTTTGCTTAGGATTTTTGTTACCCTCTCCAAGCGCATACTAACAACTAAATATTACGGTCGAGTAAGAATAGTAGGGATGTCGAAGCGAGCCGGAGATCCACACATATAACCCATATGCAGGCTAAAAGCGGGATAATACGAATAGGATAGAGAGAGTGAGCAAGAGAGGGAGCAAGAGAGGGAGCCAGGTAGTGTTGGTGAGAGAGAGAGAGAGAGAGAGAGAGACAGAGAGAGAGAGAGAGAGTGCGTGTGTGTGCGCGCGCGAGAGAGGGTGGGAGAAAGCGCCAGCAGTAAGTAGGGGCGGTGGGGGTGCAGCCGCTGTTATACGCCGCCGTCACCGTCGTCGCCTCGACACTTGTTCAAGCTCCGAGTCGACTGGCATTGGCCTAACCGGGCCGTCATTCGAAATCGCGTCGTCGTTGAGTTAGGGTATCGCGTGTCCACCTCACGAGCTCGCCGCGTTCCCTCATAACCGATTCTCAAATCGTGATGTCAAGTGACCGCGACTGCCCCCGCCCCCACTGAGAGTCGTCGCACACACCACCGCGCCGCACGTACAGCAGTACCAGCGATTCACCAAGGGCAGGAGAAAAAGGAGCACGAGAGGAGAACGACTGGAAGATGTCGGTACCGGGCAGTATAGGGCGGGAATTCGACGCTCACATCCTCACCCTCTTGACGAGGCTGAGCGCGATGCGCGGGCAGCAGCACCAAGATCCTCTGCACCTCGAGCACAAGCAGCAGCCAATGTCGATCGAAGCGCGTAGCCTCGAGCTCTGGCGCGCGGTCGCCGTCGAGTGCTTTGCCACTTTCCTCTTTGCGTTTGTCGTCGCCGGGGCAGCCATAGCCTCGGCCGTCTCCGGTAGCGGACTCAACGTACTCGCCACGGCCATCGCCTCAGGGTTCGCCATCGCCGCAGTTCAGCTAATCTTCGGTCCGGTTAGCGGTAAGAATCATTCGTTCGATCGTTATAACCGCCCCCTCCCCCCTCCCCCCTCACCATCCCCATTAACCTTTTTAATTACAAGAAGCCATAAAATTGGCATTCTTTCATTGGCTTATAAGAAGATCTGTTTTTCGTGATGTTTATCAGTGACCAAATGCTGGTCCCTGATGCTGGTATTGCGAGTTAGGGTAAACGAGTTTCAAGTGGGGGTGAATTTGAAATATTTATAATTGGCATTAGTCATTTCTATAAGAACCCCGTAGTCTTATTGGTGGTGGCTTACGAATGAAAAGAAACGGATCTCCGTTACAAAATGACTTACGAGAGAAATTTTATGATTGTCATTGCATCACGGGTGATAGGCATTGTCGTCCAAGGATCGACCTAATTATGTCTATAAAGATAATGAAGACAAAGCACGAACGCATATACTGGAATATAGAAGGATGGAACTGAATTGCGTTGAAAATCTTCCTCTAATAAAAGACGCATCTTTATGCGTGATTCATGAAAAGCGATTATTATCGTGTTTATAAAGAAGTAGAGGAGGAATCAAATAAGCGAATAAAACGTAAAAGCGACAGCAGATCTTCGATAGTACAATAATAAGCTGATTTATAGTGGAGAGACATGGCAAGATTGTTCTAACCGAGTATCTTATTAATAAAAGACACAGTCCTATGTGTTTCTGTTTATCTTTGTAGTAAAGTTTGTGGTCCTCTCATTCCTCGTGCCCCTCTGTCACCAACCCACCCTCTTTTTCTCGATTGGCTTGTTAGTCAATTGTATAGTTCCTCGTGAGCATATCTCTCTCTCTCTCTCTCTCTCTCTCTCTCTGTGTGGAACATTTAAAAGATTTCACGTATTAATTTACATTTGCATTGAGTCCACAGGATAATACAAAAATAAATAAATGCGCGTGCATTCACGTTTATTTACACGTAAGATAACAATTCTCAAATTCTAAGAGATTGGCTCTGTGAAGACTATTAAGCTATATCTTTATTTTTATTTTGCTTCGTAACCCCGACTTATTATGCCTTCCTTCGGGACCGTTACATTTTGTACATTCTTCGTCATATACCAAGCATTTGTAAATAAGTAGAAGAATTGTGAATTTTAATCGAGCGATATATTAATAATAAGATTTGCAAAATAACCAGTCCATTAGGTTGCAACTCCATTTATATAAGCATTGTTTATAAAACAAAAACAAAAACAAAAACAAAAACAAAAAATATTAGAAAGATGGAATAAGCTCGGATGTAGCCTACCACGACGTAAGATAAATACATAATGAATCGATAAAAGTTTTACAGTAATAATAATAATAATAATAATAATAATAATAATAATAATAATAATAATAATAATAATAATAATTTTCAAATGCATCAATGTAAGATCACGGAACCGCTTAAATTGTTAAAAAATTTTGGCCCCGTGTTTATCGGTCCCGCGTAAATTTATTCGCTCGCCTTCGTATTAATTAAATATCGCACAGCTGAGGTGCTTGATGGTTGGCGCACCAAAGACTAAATTCGATAAAATCGATAAAATTAAATTCCACATTTAAATGGACTGTGGGGAGGCTGGGGAATGGGGTGCTCGGGCCCCCTCGCAAACGCGACAAAATAACGTCGAGTTAATAGCGGATGAACTTTGCGATGTGTCGACAGGTGGCCACGTGAATCCCGCAGTCTCGGTGTCCTTTGCTCTATCCCGGAAGGTCTCGCCATTACGTGCCGCCCTCTATATTGCGGCTCAATGCGGTGGCGGAATCGCCGGTGCGGCCATGCTTTATGGGTAAGTACAATTACGCTTGCAATAATTAATTTGAATTTCTGCAGTTTCCATTGAACGGGGATCACTCTTCGCACCGGATCCCATTCCTTTAACGCTTGTAAATAAATTTTTTTTTCTTTCCTTTTTTCTTTTGTTATATTTAATATTTTGCAACAAATGCTTTATGGATTAGGCCATCGTTGTCATTGCATCGATCGGATTATTATAATTCAATTATTCAATCGGTAGTTATCGGTAAGATTATTTAAGATAAATAGACGTCGTTTTCTTCGTTCACTCTCCTTCGTCGTTGTTTACCCTCTTAGCATGAATTATGAGTTTAACGAACTCTATACACCGTCTGATTAAATGTAATTATTTTTAAATGATTAGAAAAACATAGAAAAGGATATTTCAACTATTATGATTATCTTTTTTGCGATTTAACACGAATGATACGCGTATTATTTATTTAATCCCTTTTGCTCATGATGCAAAAATGTCTCCCAAACAGCAAGATCTTGTGTCGTAAATTGGGACTTTTATTATACATTAATTATGATTAAAGTGTAAAAAGCCAAGCGTCAAGCCAATATTTCACCGCTCTTGGTTGATTGTGAATTACTTGAGTTAGACTCGTCGACATATAAAGTCATAAATATATAAAGCTTGTACGGTTCATAAATTAAGCATTACCTTTATTACCAAAAGAATATTGTATTGGCTTGATGTACTTTATTAACCATTGACAACTCGCATCTATTTGATTTTTGGGCGTGTTTATAGATCCCAATTATGCCTTAAATACTTTATCCATTTATCTCATAAATACACACTATTTTGATAGTTTGAATAAGTCTAACAACAGCCTTTTGTCAAGCATTAAATCAGACAATTAATAATTGCAATCACCAAAACCTAGAATATAGAATCATAAAATGTAATAATGCAAGGTTGGACATATTTCGCTGCTGTTCTTTGCTGGCTTTATGTTTTATTCGTAATACCAAGAAACATTTGGTATCTCCTTCTATCTACTTGGATCGTCCGTATACAGCGTATAGCTAGACAGATACTGGACACCGCAAAGGACCGACCTTCCTTCAATTATTTTTCATGTCTTTTACGTCTTTTGCCGTCTCTTGGCATTGGGATGTATATTGGCTCAGCCATAGCGGAAGTTTCACTTGTGTGTCACTCGCCGAGTAAGGAGGGTGGTTTTTATATGTGGCTGTCTCCGTTGGCGGAAACGACTGAACAAAATGCTGTAATAAGCACAATGAGATCACAGCCGCTAAGGAGTCAGCAAAATCTTTGTCCCACATAAGATAGATCGCACTAGTCGCTCAATCAGCTGCATTTACGACGCCTATTAATTGTTCATTACTCCTGATATTTTCGACACCTTCGACCGATTGCATTAGAAACAAAAATTGCGATCAACTGCCCTTTACTTACTTCTGCCAGAACTATTAATTAACAATCCTTATTTCGATATTTACCTATTTATTAAAAAAAAAAAGAAAAAAAAAAGAAAAAAAAAAGAAAAAAAAAAAGAAAAAAAAAATTAAAAAAATAATGCCTATCAATTCTCTTTATTCGTAATACAATATAAGTATGATGTATTTTCATTGTAGGATAAATTTATTTTGTATTGATCAAAAAATGCATCTAATTATTTAAATGATTCCAAATTCGATAGAAAATACAAAAATAAGCTACATTTCATTGGGTCATAGAGACAGGTAACGACACAAGGTTTTTTTATACAACGAATTACAAATAATATATTACAGAGGCGTGTGCACTGTCCTTGGGGCATCAAAGGATGTACAGCAGTTGGTACAAATCATCTATTGTAAAATCCGCGGAAATCAAGCGGTTTCCAAGATATATTGGCTTCTTCTCTTTTGCATACGTAACGTGTCGTTACAGCAACGCGGAAAGGAAGTACAAAGGAACATACTCATCTGCTGCCTTTTGCTTCTTTCAATTACCTCCTCCTTCTCCCTCTCTCACATACGTCGTTAAGTTTTCTCCGTATGCTAATATTCTCGCCGATGAGGAGCGAATCCCGTGTCACGCGGACACTTCTGAAAGGGAGACGACCGAACTTGTATTTTTCATTCGTAAACGGTAGTACAATGGATATTCCATTACCCGGTGTTTTTTTGTGACCTCGCGAGGACTTATTTCCGTCGTCTATTCAGCGATGATCTAACTTTCGGCTGAAATAAACCGAAACTGTTTTGCCTTGCTCTCATAAGTTCCCGTCTCTTTATATCTTTATACACGCGCGCGCGCGCACACACACACACACACACACACACACACAAAACACGCATATGTAAGAAATATACACTGTCCTTTATACGGGGTTTCTGCGTAACGGGTCCGGAAAAATTGAAGCGGACGTCGAGTGGATGCTTTCCGACGAATAAAGAGAAAGCGGTTCTTGTATTCTTCAAATCAGTTATTTATTCACGTATCTTCTCGTGCGCGCGCGCGCGCGCGCGCACACACACACACCATCTCTCGTCATGTATTTAAATTTAAATTTTCAACTCCACAGTTGACCTCGTTAAAATTGACAAAATCGTATGTAGAATAGGATAATACTTACCAAGGACATAGCACTTTCGAAGCCACATAATATTTATTTATGAGTACAGAATGCCATGTATTATCCCATGGGAATTCATTTAACGTCACCTAACCATTCGTTTTGGTTAAGTATAAGGTATAGTCTGTACTCATATGTGGTACATTATAACGATTGCGTGTGTTGGAGAAATATTATAGAGAATTGTAAAAAATTGGAGCCAAGTGGTTTTGGATTTTAGAAGTGAAATACACGAAATTGGAATGGAGAATGAACTGCAGGTAAAAGGTGAGCTATGATGAAAGTGTCCTTCAACGTCACTGGCCAATTTTTTCTAACATAAGCATTGTAGCGTAACAGCGAATGCGATTTTTGCTTACGCTTAGAAAGGAAAATGCCCAAAGTGGGGCTAAAGATAGGCAGTTACAATCGGCCTCGTCTCTTTCTTTAATCCCACCGGCGACGTAGACAAACAACGAAAGGTACCCGAAGGGCGCCTACGGAGGCTACATTCTTATCTTTCTCTCTGTCTTTCGAGCACTCGTCGAGAGAAGGCAGATGCGGGATCTTATCGGCGGTCAGCAGGCGGTCGAAGGACTGAACGCGGCAGCATGGCAAAGAGGGGGAGGTAAAAGGAAGAAGCAGAGAAGAGTGGCACGCGCGACGGCTGTGGCGCGTGCCCGCGATGATTCTGAGGTAAAGAAAAAAGAAGAAAAAAAGAAGGTGCAGGAGGCGGAGGCGCAGCCGGCCAGAAGCGTTGGCTCCGAGAATGAAAAAGAAAGCGTGACTTCGGATTTTCGGCTAACGCGCCTCCTCTGCTCTACTCCCCCGCTTCCCGTCCCTCGTCGATCGTTCGTCGTTCGTCGTTCGTCGTTCGTCGTCCCTCGTCCACCTATCCACAAAGAAATTCGCCGTTACGTCTGATATTATATGTGACCAGAGCTGCAAGGGCCGAGTTGCAATTATGTTTACGGTGTATATGTCACTCCACTTCCTAATTGCCGTTTGAGCCGCATCGACGACGAGCATTTCGAATTCTTGCTTAATTTTGTGGATCTTGGAATGCGATGACGCTGGAAAGATCGCTTTAGATAAATATATAAGGGCTGTCTGCTGGATATTTATGGACTTAAAAATTTGAAGACGTCTCATTAAGGCAAGCGATCGGCATGAATCAGTGATCATAATCAACGCTAAATCGCCATAGAAATCCAGAGAATAAATCGCCTAACATAGACGTTCTATGGTCAATAAAATGAGCGAGG